CTCTGAAAACCTTGTCTCCCAATGAGACTTTACCTTTATTGGCTCACCAAGGGCACAGGTGCCCTTGGTTTTCCCTTGGGTTATTTTTAGAGCTTATGCCATTAAGAAGTCCCCTGAAGGTCTTTTGCTTTCAAGGACTACATTCTTGAATACGGAGGGATAAAGCAGTCCTTTGATTCAGAGGGGACGGAGAGGGCATGTATTATGTGCCTGACTGGTCTAGGCACTTTATATGAAGTCTCATTTTCTCCTTATAACAACCCTGTAGGTATTATTCCTACTTTACAGAGAAGTGGAATCTGAGAGATTAAGATTCTTACTGGCCGGGCGCGGTGGCTCAAGCCTGTAATCCCAGCACTTTGGGAGGCCGAGACGGGCGGATCACGAGGTCAGGAGATCGAGACCATCCTGGCTAACACGGTGAAACCCCGTCTCTACTAAAAAATACAAAAAACTAGCCGGGCGAAGTGGCAGGCGCCTGTAGTCCCAGCTACTTGGGAGGCTGAGGCAGGAGAATCGCGTGAACCCGGGAGGCGGAGCTTGCAGTGAGCTGAGATCCGGCCACTGCACTCCAGCCTGGGCGACAGAGCATGACTCCGTCTCAAAAAAAAAAAAAAAAAAGATTCTTACCTAAGATCACATAGCTTGTCAGAAGTGGAACTAGAATTTGAAAATGTGATTTGAACCCATTTTTGTCAGGCTCCAGTGCATATATTTTTCCCTGCATCAGTGAAGACAGGATGGCAGCAATGTCTTTTATTTCCAGATGGCAGAAGAGAAGAAGATCCCAGGTAGAGTAACTTACTCAGGGTCACAAAGAGAGAGTTTAAGATACTCAGAGCTCCATGCTTCTTCTGATCTCTTTTCCCAATCCCTGCCTTTGTTGGCATGCTTCTCTCTTTTTAAAAGATATATTATAGTAAAACTCCCAATAAGAGATTATGGCAGAAATATTTGTCAAAAATAGTAGTGGTACCTCTCAACGAAGAGAACTCTCAACAGATGTGCTATGTGTAATCCTATTTTGTTAAAGGACATGAGTAGAACTAGTTTCAAGGGTCGACAGCACCCACTGGCATTTGCAGAGGTGTTAAGTGTCCTGGAGCAGAATTGCTGCTTATTGAGCAGTAAAGTTTCTGATGACTATGTTAGGAAGATGGCTTGAATTGAGTGCCAGAGGCCTGATTGCTAGGATGTTCTTTTTCTTTTAACATTTTATTGTGTGTATTTGAGATGGAGTCTCACTCTGTTGCCCAGGCTGGCTGGAGTGCAGTGGCACAATCTTGGCTCACTACAACCTCCACCTTCCAGGTTCAAGCAGTTCTCTTGCCTCAGCCTCTTGTGTAGCTGGGATTACAAATGCATGCCACTACGCCTGGCTAATTTTTGTATTTTTAGTAGAAATGGGGTTTCACCATGTTGGCCAGGCTGGTCTCGAACTCTTGACCTCAGGTAATCTGCCTGCCTCAGCCTCCCAAAGTGCTGGGATCACAGGCATGAACCACCACACCCAGCTGTGTAAATTTTTAAATACATAAAGAAGTTGAAAGAAAAATACAATTAGTCCCCATGTACCCATTACCCAGCTTCAATAGCCTTCGACTTTCTGCCATTCATGTTGCCTCTGTTTCATTCATATGCTTTCTTCCCCCAGGAGATTTGTTTGTTTGTTTTACTGTCACTGACTTGAAGCTCACCCCAGGAATTTTTGAAAGTAATTTCCGGATATTTTAAAAAGTTTATTTTAGCTGTCATTTATTGAATTCCTAATTATGGCTGAGTACTATGTTAAATATCTTTTTTATTTTTATTTCTTGTTTTGAGACAGGGTCTTGCTCTGTCACCCAGACTGGAGTGCAGTGGTGCAATCTCAGCCAGGCTGGAGTGCAGTGGTGCCATCATAGCCTTGACCTCCTGGGCTCAACCAATCCTCCTACCTCACCCTCCCAAGTAGCTAGGACTACAGGTGCCTGGCAAATTTTTTGTTGTTGTTGTTGTTGTTTTTGTAGAGATGGGTTTCACTGTATTGCCTAGGCTGGTCTCTAACTCCTGGGCTCAAGTGATCCTCCCACCTCAGCCTCCCAGTGTTGGGATTACAAGTGTGAGCCACCATGCCCAGCCAAATACTCTGTATTTAATGCTCACAAATCACACTGTGGTATAGATGCTATTATTATTTCCCTTTTATGGAAGAGGAAACTGAGGCACCTGGGATTAAGTAATTTGCCTGCCTTAAAGTAACTTACAAAAGGTTGCACAGTTAGGAAGTAATGGAAGTAATGGGGCCAGGATTCAAGCCCAGGGTAGTCTGGGCCTCTTAATCACTCCTCTGTGTTTCAGGCATTGCTGTTTATTATAACCCCAGAGGAGTTCTATTCTGTTCTATACCACCCACCCCTGTCATATTTACCAAAGTATAGGAGTCAGAGATTTCTTTTGTTTATAGTGCTAATGGCAGGATTAAGCAGTATCCATGTTTATCACTGATCTAGGAAGGACAATAAAAAAGAGAAGGTGTAATAGGGTGATAGAAGGAGGGAGGGAAGAAAAATGATGTGATTGAAATATTGTTGCACCTCTAGGCCGGGCACGGTAGCTCACACCTGTAATCCCAGAACTTTGGGAGGCTGAGGCAGGCAGATCACTTGAGGCCAGGAGTTCAAGGCCAGCCTGGCCAACATGGCGAAACCCCGTCTCTACTAAAAATACAAAGCATTAGCCAGGTGTGGTGGCACACATCTGTGGTCCCAGTTACTCAGGAGGCTGAGGCATGAGAATTGCTTGAACCTGGGAGATGGAGGCTGCAGTGAGACATGGTCACACCCCTGCACTCCAGCCTGGGTGACAGAGTGAGACTCTGTCTCAATTTAAATAAATAAATAAATAAATAAATAAAGAGATGGGGACTCGCTCTGTTGCCCAGGCTGGAGTGCAGTGGCATGACCATGTCTCACTGCAGCCTTAAACTCCTGAGCTCAACCTATCCTCCTCCTGCCTAAGCCTCCCAAATAGCTAGGACTACAGGCACATATCACCATACCCAGCTAATTTTGAAATTTTTTGTAGAGACAAGGCGTCACTGTGTTGCCCATGCTGGTCTCAAATTCCTGGGCTCAAGCAGTCCTCCTGCTGCAGCCTCCCAAAGTACTCTGGGATTACAGGCGTGAGCACTGCACATGGCCCCTCTGGATTAGTTCTGCCGTGTTGTAACTGTGAGAGTCATATGTGGCACTTTATTTTGGTCCAGATGCTTTTTAAGGAACCATATATACTGGAGACCCAGGGGACAATGGGGTTGATTTGGGGACTAGTCGGTGACAGTAAAAGGAACAGAGGCCTGGAAATTAAACTTGGGTTCTAGTCCTAGTTGTGCCACTTATTATTACTTGTGACTGCAGGCTAGTCTCATCTTACTCTGAGTTCCCATAAAATGACTCATTTTTAAAGTCTCTTTCAGTTTTAACATTTTGTAAGTATGAGATTTGGGGTAGCTTAATCCTTACTATAGATCATTGTAACTTTTGATTGCAAAAGGAATAAGGAGAAATACTACTGCCGGGCATAGTGGCTCATGCCTGTAATCCCAGCACTTTGGGAAGCCGAGGCGGGTGGATCACGAGGTCAGGAGATGGAGACCATCCTGGCTAACACAGTGAAACCCTGTCTCTACTAAAAATACAAAAAATTAGCCGGGCTTGGTGGCAGGCGCCTGTAGTCCCAGCTCCTCAGGAGGCTGAGGCAGGAGAATGGCGTGAATCCGGGAGACGGAGCTTACAGTGAGCCGAGATCGGGCCACTGCACTGCAGCCTGGGCGACAGAGCAAGACTCCGTATCAAAAAAAAGAGAGAGAGAGAGAGAAATATTTATTCCCTTTCCTAATTGTAAGGATAGATTAGATTCCCATCCCTTGATTACAATGAAAATAGAGGATCAGACTAAACAGAATTGTGAGACCCCTTCTAGCCCTGTGAGTCCTGGTTATAGTATATCTTCTGGTTTTCATCTGTGTGTCTTTTTGTTTTTCTGGGTTTTTGTTTTTGTTTTTTTCCCTGAGACAGATTCTTGCTCTGTCTCCCAGTCTGGAGTGCAGTGGCACGATCTCAGCTCACTGCAACCTCTGCCTCCTGGGTTCAAGTGATTCTCCTGCCTCAGCCTCCTGAGAAGCTGAAACTACAGGCGTGTGCCACCACGCTCAGATAATTTTTTGTATTATTAGGTATTTGAGGTATTTGAGGCTGCAGTAAGACATGGTCATGCCACTGCACTCCATTGAGACGGGGTTTCACTGTGTTAGCCAGGATGGTCTTGATCTCCTGACCTCTTGATCCATCCGCCTTGGCCTCTCAAAGTGTTGGGATTACAGGCGTGACCCACTGCACCTGGCCTGTATCTTTCTGAAGTAGAGAAAGGAGGGTTAGAAGTATGAAGGTGTTGTTTCCTTACTTATGGCAAAAAAAAAAAAAAAAAAAGGCAGAAGTTGAAAGTGGGATAAAGAATTGCTAGCCAGGCACAGTGGCTCACGCCTGTAACCCTTGCACTTTGGGTGGCTGAGGTGGGAGGATTAATTGAGCCCAGGAGTTCGAGACCAGCGTGGGTAACATAGAGAGACCCTGTCTCTACAGAAAATCAAAAAAGTAGCTGGGTATGGTGGTGTGTGCCTGTGGTCCCAGCTCCTTGGGAGCTGAGGCAGGAGGATCACTGGAGGCTGAGGTGGGAGGATTGCTTGCACCCTGGAGATTGAGGTTTCAGTGAGCCAAGATCATGCCACTGCATGCCACTCCAGCCTAAGTGACAGAGCAAGACCTGGTCTCAAAAATGAAAATAATTGTCTCAGAGTCCTTTCCCAACTTAGGGATGGGTGCGAGACCAGAGGCCAGGTCTTCAGGTTGCTGGGTGAGAATACTCTTTGTTCTTTTTCTTGCACATCTCAATAGCTCTTCATTGTGTTTAGTACCATAGTAACCCTTTTTCTCCTTCCTTCTTCTTTTTTTTTTTTTCAGTACCTCAACATGCTAAGGACTTGTGAGGGCTACAATGAAATCATCTTTCCCCACTGTGCCTGTGACTCCAGGAGGAAGGGGCACGTTATCACAGCCATCAGCATCACGCACTTTAAACTGCATGCCTGCACTGAAGAAGGACAGCTGGAGGTGAGTTTTCAGCATAGGGCTCTGCTACAAGGACTGGAGATACTTTGATGCTCACTTGCTTGTGATGTTTTAATTCCTTTTTAGAGGGAAATGAAATCAAAATTGTATTTTGACTGGGCAGATAAACAGGCACGGAATCCACACTGATCCTCAACTTCATTGACTGCTTCCACTGATTTGTATTCTTCTGTCACAATCCTTTCCCTGAAGGGATGCAGACATCTCCATTCATTTCTCTTCTGTCTCCTGGTTCAGAACCCCCTACCTCAGTTCCCTAGTACTCTGAAACACAGACTGTACCTTACTCCCTTGTCTTGGTTGTCCAGAACCAGGTAATTGCATTTGAATGGGATGAGATGCAGCGATGGGACACAGATGAAGAAGGGATGGCCTTCTGTTTCGAATATGCACGAGGAGAGAAGAAGCCCCGATGGGTTAAAATCTTCACACCATATGTGAGTGCAATTTGAAGAAAGTAACTGGGACTTAGTGTTTTTTTTTTTTTTTTCCAGCTAAATGCATAAATGGAGAGAGAGATAGAGCTAGTAGTTGTCTTGAGATCTGAACCTGTTTGAATCCTGGAACCCCCAGATTCATCCTGTCTGCTTTAGGCCTGACTGGAATTGGCAATTTCCTATTCCACTTGGCTCATGGTTACCACTAGAAGGAGCTAGAGAATAGTGGATGAACCAGGCCTGAGTTTTGTGGTACTTGTCAGGGTTTTTCTGTAGACTGAGTTTGGAAGATGGGATGACTGGGGACAGGAGTTCAAAGGCACAGTCCTGAGGTACCTTCTCTTGAGAAGTTAGTGATTGTCACCACCGTTTTTTTTCAGTTCAATTACATGCATGAGTGCTTCGAGAGGGTATTCTGCGAGCTCAAGTGGAGAAAAGAGGTAATTCTGAACAGTTCTTGAATTGACCTTTCATCTTTTTGTTTCTTTAAAATTTATAGGCCTGTGGCCAAATACCTGGGACCCTCACCTCCATCTCTGTCTTTCTAGGAATATTAGTTAGAGACTGATTATCTCATGTGAGCCAGGACATTCTTCCAGCAAGGTTGGCCTCTGGATGGTGAACGGGCTGTGAAAAAAGCCCTGCTTCTTCCCTTGTCTAGAGGGTGGACATTGGCTACAGGCTCTTCCATCTCTCATGACTTCATGGACCCTCCTCTGCCAGTTTTTTAAATCAGATCACCCTCCATGTTGTTCCTGACCCGCAGGGGAAGCTGTCCTCAGTTGTAGCCGTCTGACTGGATGAGTCCTGGCAGTCTTTCTAGGCGAACCAAGAATGTGTGTGTGAGGGAAGGTGTTTCCTGTTGCTTTACTGCTGTCTGTATGTGCCAGTGCTGGAACAGAATTTGGAAGATTCTGAATAATTAGCTACTTATTCTCAAAATCTTTGAAAGAATCAGGAGGTCAAGTCAATAACATGAAAATTTATATTCTTAGTGCAGTAGAAAGAACATTGGGCTCTGGGAATTTTATCTTGGTTTTCTCCTGGCTTTTTTTTCCTCTGTGTAATTTTGGGTAAATCAGTTTCCCTAGCTCTCAGTTTTCTCTTCTGTGAAACAGGAAGACTGAACCACGTAATTAATATCCAAGGTCCCTTCCGGCTCTAAAAGGCTATGATTCTAGATGAGAAGTTATATCAGGAGAGATACGGCCAATCAGATTGAGTCATCCAGGCATACCTTTTTAGCTTCTGTTTGAGGAGTTGTCTCCAGAGAAGAGGAGATGTGGCTTCCCAATAACTCTTTTTTTTTTTTTTTCCTTTCAGAACATTTTCCAGATGGCGAGGTCACAGCAGAGAGATGTGGCCACCTAGCCTTTCCTTATCCCCTTCCCTTCCTTTCACCCCCATCCTCTTGCTCCTTTCATGTCCCATTTCAGACAGAGTAACCATTAACACAAAAGAAGAGAAAGAGTTAAAGTCATTATATTCAAAAGCCCTAAACTAAATATTATTAATAACGCCCTCTGAATTTCATGTCTCTGGAATTGAGGTGGTAGTAAACAGCAGATTGGTCAGCACCAGAAGTCAACTGAGTTAAGACAGGAAAAGAAAATAAGCCCAACCAACTTGCCAAAGGTATCTTTGTCCTTTCACCTGGGCCTCATACCAACAGCCTCTCCTTGTACTATATTTTTAAAACTGGAACTATGAACTTCATCCATTTGCACTGTTCAGACATATATATGTATGTATGTAAAAATTATATATACACAAATTAGCTGCACGTATATACATATATATATTTCTTTTTAAATTTCATATTGATGGCAGTACCTTTTTTAGCTTGTGTTTTTACACACCTTTCACTAGAATCCATGACCTCTCTTGTGCTCTCTTTATTTTGAAACAAACTTTAAAAAGGAAAAAAAAAAAGCATTTTACAGGGAAAAATACCTCTCCTCATGAAAGACTTGAAAAGTTTACAACCTGCTTGGATTTTTGCCCCTTTTTTGTATCGAGTATAGATTCCGGCTCATGGGTTGCCATAGAGTCTGAGGAACAGGGAGTATAGTTTCTTTATCTTCCAAGAGGGTGTTGGGGAGGAGAAAGAGGTGTGTTTTTCAAGGTTAACAGGCTGTAGTTCTGCAGGGAGAGCCTAAAGTCCTGGTATGGTCTCTTGATTCCATGACAGTTTTTCTGATCCATCTGTTTCTCTCACTCCTGGCTTTCTAGCCACATTCTGCACCTCCTTCCTGCTTTCCTAGAACCTCAGTATGCTTTCCCTCAACTGGCCCTGAGTGGAGTTGTGCGTGGGCTCAGGAGGTTGATGCCATGGGAACCTGAACCTGAAACACTTCATGGTAGTAATTTCCTGTTTTCCTTGCCCCCCCCCCTTTTTTTTTTCTGAGACAGGGTCTTAAACTCTGTCACCCAGACTGGAGTGTAGTGGCATGATCATAGCTCACTGTTACCTTGAATTCCTGGGCTCAGGTGATCCTTCCGCCTCACCCTCCTGAGTAGCTGGGACTACAGGTGTGCACCACCACACCTGGCTAATTCTTCTTAAAATATTTTTGTAGAGACAGGGTCTCACTGTGTTGCCCATGCTGGTCTCAAACTCTTGGCCTCAGGTGATCCTCCTGTCTGAGCTTCCCAGAGTGCTGGGATTACAGGCATGAGCTGCTGTGACCTCCCCTGCATTTTTTTGCAGCAGGGATAGTACTTGGGACCAGAGTTAAACTGATACCTTAGGCACACAGGTTGGACTTACATAGAGGAAGGAAAGCAAGCAATGCCCTGTGTACGTGAGGTTTTACCTCCTCCATTCCTGACCAATAACCACCCATAACTATGGCATTCTCTGTGACTTCCTTAAACAGCAGTGATGGGAAGAGATCCAGTAATATCTTCAAGGCCTTGGGGAAACTTGCAGTGGGTCAGTGGTCTGTGCCAACCAAATGATTGCCCCATCCAAGCCAATTGAGGACCCAGGAAGGAGTAGTAGGAATACGGTTGATTTAGATTGGATCTCCCAAGTTTTAATTAAAAAGAGACTGAAGGAAAACCTTTCTGCTTTCTGTCCCTTAAAGAGCTCCTCATCTGATCTTGCAGCTAGACCTTTTGAGACTTAAGAGCTACATCCCAGGATCAGAAGCCAGGGCTAGTTGGGGTAGGACAATATTCCCAGCCCCTAAGCTCTGTAGATAGTGCATAAGAAACACCAAGTCAGGCTCAGATGCAACTAAAACACATCTTTGAGCCTTTTCTTGTTCCCTTCTCCCCCTTCTAAACGAAAACCTTCCTAGGATGGCATCTTTTGCTCTAACTGGGAGACAGTCATAATTGGTTGTAGTCAACTCTACTGAGCAGTGTTGGGGTGATTGGAAAGTCTCTTTTTGTTTTTGCAAATCATTGTGAGGCCACTCTTTCTTTCTTTCTTTTCTTTCTTTCTTTCTTTCTTTCTTTCTTTCTTTCTTTCTTTCTTTCTTTCTTTCTTTCTTTCTTTTCTTTTCTTTTCTTTTCTTTCTTTTTCTTTTTCTTTCCTTCTTTTATCTCTTTTTTTGTAATTTGTTGTTGCAAATCATTGTGAAGCCACTTTTCTTTTTCCTTCCTTCCTTCCTTCCTCCCTCCCTCCCTCCCTCCCTCCCTCCCTCCCTCCTTTCCTTTCTTTTTTTTTTTTTTTTTTTTTTTTTTTTTTTTTTTTTTTGAGACGGAGTCTCGCTCTATCGCCCAGGCTGGAGTGCAGTGGCCGGATCTCAGCTCACTGCAAGCTCTGCCTCCCGGGTTCACGCCATTCTCCTGCCTCAGCCTCTCGAGTAGCTGGGACTACAGGCGCCCGCCACCTCGCCCGGCTAGTTTTTTGTAGTTTTAGTAGAGACGGGGTTTCACTGTGTTCACCAGGATGGTCTCGATCTCCTGACCTCGTGATCCACCCGTCTCGGCCTCCCAAAGTGCTGGGATTACAGGCTTGAGCCACCGCGCCCGGCCTTTTCCTTTCTTTTTATTAGTGTTTTTCTTTTTTTCCTCAGAGTCTTGCTCTGTCGCCCAGGCTGGAGTGCAGTGGCACGATCTTGGCTCATTGCACCCTCCGCCTCCTGGGTTCAACCGATTCTCCTGCCTCAGCCTCCCAAGTAGCTGGGATTACAGGCGTGCACCACCACGCCCCACTAATTTTTTGTATTTTTGTTAGAGGCAGGGTTTCACCATGATGGTCAGGTTGGTTTTGAACTCCTGACCTCAAGTAATCTGCCCACCTCAGCCTCCCAAAGTGCTAGGATTATAGGCATGAGCCACTGCACCTGGCCCACTTTTCTTTCTTTCTTATTTTGTTATCCTGGCAGCCATTTGCTGGTATGGGATCAAAGAGGACAGCCTTTCCTCCCTCACCTTCTCCAAATCTAGGTGGAATCACAGAGTACAAAACATAAGAATGCTGAATGTGTAAAGTTGCAGAGGGATCCCTAATTTGAAGACTTTGACACAGAACTAACTTCTTTTGACTTAAATGAATTTAAAATGAGCCAAAGGACCCTGAAAAGAAGACATGTTGATTTCCCACTCCTAGATGCTAAAGAGACTTTTGGTACCAGCTTTGTTCAAACTGTAAAAATAGCAATTTGCCCCTACTCGCTCAGAGTGGGACAGTAATGAACAGACCTGGGATTCCATTTGACAGCTCGAATGCTGACCTTCAGACATGAGACATAGGGATTGGGAGGCCACTTAGAATGGGTAGATGGTGCTATGTTCCCTTTCTGGCATAGCATTCACTTGGTGCTTTGGAGATTAGGTGAGGGCCCTATAGGTAGTTGGCCTGTTGGCAGAATTTATTTAGGAACAGCCCTTCTTAAAAGTGTCTCACTAACAAAGTACCCAGCTGCAGCAAGGAGGTGGGGAAGGAAGGCACCCCTAAAGGACAGCGCCTTCTTCTCTTCCACCCATGCACGGCCTTGGGTGATGGAGGCAGGGTCCCTGTGGCTGCGCGGGTCCCATAGGATCAAACCCTTCTTTGCATGAAGCAGTGTTAGTTGTGACTCTTCTCTCTCCCCTTCCTCTGCACTTCCTTTCTGTAATCCCTACTGTTGTTCTTAGTCCCAGCTTCTGCCCAGGGAGGCTTCTACCCAGACTTCTTTTGCAATTTGTCCCTTGGAAGAGGGGGGCTCCCAGTGCCCCCAGCTTCATCCCGGCAGAACCAGCAGGATCCTCCTGGTCTCTCACTGGCCTTCCTCCACACTTGGTTTCTCTGGGATAGAAGCTCAGAGCTTTTTATGGCCCAGGAGAAAATGTAGACCCTGAGAAACCTGTCCCTGCAGAAAGGTTCCCTTGGGCCATGCTTTGGGCCCTCTGCTCTTTATATGTTTATTCTATTCTCAATTTTTCCACCCTCTCCTTACCCTAGGCCTAAGCGCAGGTACAGATATGTGCGTGCTCAGGGCAGCTCCTAGGCCTGGACCGAGCTCTCAGGGAGGAATTAGATAAATATTCCAACATCCTCATGCCTGGCTCATTTAGTTTCATCCTTTAGTTACCCAGGCCAGTAGCTTTGGGTTATGCCTTCCTGTAGCTCCAAACCCAACACTTGGAGCAGCAGAATAGGGCACCGCCAGGAGATGACTCTCTCTCCTATCTCAGAATTTGCCAGCTTCTGGGCTGGGCTCCTAGGAGGTAGTTTTCTTGAAGGGGACTGCATCCTAGTTAACCTGAATTTTCCAGACCAGGAGGGACTGCTGTGCCCTTCCTTCTCGCCATTATACTGTTTGGCTAGATTCATTCAGCAGTAGAAGCTCTTTGATCTGTTGACCCCAGCATACTGCTGTTTCTTCACCAGCTTCATTGTGTCACAGTAGCTTCCTTTTGGAGGATGATGTGATAGAGCACTCAGAGAGAGAGAGGGAGAAGAGAGGTAGTGGGTATGCTTCTCTAGCTCCCCATCTTCCAGGTCCACCTCTTGACTTCCTGTTCCCCTAAACCTGAGCACATCATGCCAGGCCTCATTGCTGCCAGGACAGCATCAGCTCACTCCTCAGCAATAATCTAGGGTATGTGGGAAGGTCAGGGCTGTGGGAAGGAATAGAATCAAAGAGGGGAGTAATATGGGGTGGAGGCACTTGGCCACCTGCTAAACTTGGACATTAATTTTATATCATGACCCCCTTTTAAGCCAGTGAGCTGGGCTTCAGTTTTTCCCAGGCCATGCACATTTAATTTATTTCAGAGAAACTCTAATTGTATTTTCACTGCAGTATCTTGTATTTTTTATTTGTGATTTAAGAAATGTGAAGAGAAAATACACAGACACAATAATGGCTAACAGTGTTTCTTTCATTCCTTGTTCTAGAGCTAACCACTCTAAAATTGTTTGGTAATGTCACTTAGTGTAATTAATTGTAACATATTCTTTTAAATAAATTGATTTATTGATCAAACACTTCTTTGGTTTCCTAGACTACAAATCCTTTGGGTTGTGTGGGAAGAAGTGAAGAGGGACCTTTGAGATTTGAGTTAGAGTAGTCAGTCTGAAAAGAAGAAGAAACATCTAACCAGTTTTCCCAGGTAACTAGTGGGACAGTTTTTTGAGGGCAGGGAATGGAGAAGGGTGAGGAAAGAAGCCACGGAAGCCCCTTTGTTTGCAGTTCTCTTCCCAGTGGCTCCTTTGAAAATTCCTTCTTCTCCTTCAGATCTCAGAGGTGACTAGCTTACCCCTCCCATCTGCAAGCTTGCACAAAAATCCTTTGAAGATTCACAGGATTCCTTTCTCAGCCATGCAGATAGAGCCTGGCAGAGCTTTTGGTACAGATCTTAGCAATGGCCCCTCCTCCCCACCCCCAGCAACATGTATATACTTTTTCAGGTAAATCGGGAAAGTTTTTCTCTTTGGGATCTGGACTGAAAGGAACACATTATGACTGTTGAATGGCCAGCGCAAAACTAGGCACTGTGGGTGGCCTTACTCTCCTGTGCTCCCACACTCCTGAGAAGAAGGGTGATCCTACTGCCTTTTGCTTTTACAGAGGCATCTGAGGTGCTGGGGCCTAATTACCTGCTCTCAAGAGTACCTGTTCCTCTCTGTACATTTGTTTATGAGCTGACTCTGGTCTGAAAAGCTCAGCATTTGTAGTGGGTGAGACGTTTTAATTTTTTTATAAAGCTTCATTTATTATTATTTTTACAACTTCTGACCACATGCTTTGGTTCCTTAACTGATGACCATAAGACCAAGGACCATTGTGACATTTTGTTTGGCAGCTTGGGAAGAGACATTGTTCGGGGGCTCATACACTCACCCACCCATTGGCTTTGGATATTTAAAACCTAAGAAACACCACTATGCTAATGGAGGGGGAAATGTTATCTTTCCTAAGCAAAGAATCCATAAAGAAGAACAAAGTGGAATTCTAGAATTAGCGTTACAGTGGTTAAAGTCAAACTTTTATTAGGTGTCTGCTGTTGGGGGTGGGGTGGGGAGATTGAGATACTGCAACAGACACAAAAGCAAAGAAACATTTCTGCCAGCTTACAGGCTCACAGAAGAGTGAGACACTTGCGCGCGGCCATGATACATAGCAGTGAAAGGTTTAAGTGCCATAAGGACTAGAAAAGGAAGGGGAACGACCTGTGGATGAGGGCCGTTAGGGTTTTCATGAAGAAAGTAGTGTTTAAGATGAACCGTTGTAGTGTGAGCAGCATTTCAACAAGAAGGCATTCAACAAACATTTATTGAGCCATTATGTGCCAGACACTGTAGTAACTGGGAATGAAAAGACATGGGAGAAAAGGGGCCGAACTTGCCCAGAGAACAATGAATAGTTCCATTGGGGTATGTGTAGGAACGAAGTGGAAAGTAAGGCTTTGAAGAGCCTTGAATGCCAGACTGAGGTATTCTGTGAAAAAAAAAAATCAGAGTAGTTTTGTTTTTTATTAGCTGCAGTTTAGAAAGATTGATGCTTCAGAACATAGACAGAAGGACCAATTAGAAAATTGCTGTGATTACTCAGTTAATAAGTATAGGCAGTGATAATTGAAAAAGAGGGAAATGATATGAGAAAGTTTGTGGAAGTGAAATCTTTAATGATTTAATACCATTGAGCTTATGTGAAAGTACTAAAAACTCTTGAGGTTTTATGTCTACGTGACCAGAAAATAGAAATATATGAGTTGGGACTTTATGGGAGAAAGTTTTAGCATTGGCCCTGTGATGATTTAGATACGGATGGGAAATCCAATATAGATGTCCAACGGTCATTTCTTATTTACTAAGCAATGTCTAATGTTTGGGGCACTGTTTAGGGTGACGAGGATACAGTGCTGGACAAAGCAGAGTAGGTAGTAAATGTTGGTGAATTAACTTTTAAAAGATGACGATGACTCTTGGCTTCTTGGGAGAACAAATTGTAGGAGAGCAGGAGAAGCAGCATGGAGACAGATGAGAGCAATGTGACGTGGACGGTGCTGGTGGCTGTGGAGATGCAGAGACATGAGTAAGTAAATCAGCTGAATACTTTAGAGGTAGACTTAGTAGGGCTTTGCAGTTGGATTGGGGAGGAGACATGAGAGAGAGGGTGTAATCCAAGTTTTGGCTTGAGTGGGTACCTAGTGGTGCTGCTTACTAATGATGAAGACTGAGGGAGAAAAGGTAATACCAACATGGAGTTCAGGACAAAAATTAGGCTAGAAACATGTCACTGGGACTTGGTTTTCATCAGGCAGATGAGAGGATGCAATATATAGGAAGGAAACCAAGTTTATGAGGAGCAAGAAGCAGCTGACTGCTCTGTGAAATAGACTGAAAGAGGGGCCAGAGAACAAGGGTCTTATTAGAACCAGGGGCTTGGATCAGGGCTGTTCAAGTTACCAGATTTGGAGAAGAGAATGAGGCTTGGCCATGAATGGGAATTGCTTCAGTCACAAATACCTGAAGCCAAGGCTGTGAAAGGCTTTGAAATTTTAGCGGGAGAATTAAAAGACAAAGGAAACACTGAAAGTCAGAGGGCCTGGCTCTCAGGCCAGCAGAGTCCAACCCGAGGAAACAGAGACACTTTGCATTACGTTTATGCTTTCCAAAGCTTTAAAAATATGGAAAGCGAATGGGAAGTAATTATTTAGGGCTATTTTTTTCCCTAGCCATTGTCCCATCACCTTAATCTCCCTAACTGAGGATATGTTTCTAAAGGTCTGCTTTCATTTCTACCACTGAAAGGCTCCACTCTATCCCTGATATTAACATGTCAGCTCCACTCTTCTGGCTCAAGAAGTTATTTTCCTTGTCTTCCCTTTATGCTGCCATTAACATTTGAACATAACTTGATTATTTTAGAAGAAGAAACAGACAATAAAGGTAGCCACTGATGTTGCAGCAGGGGCTGCCACACCGACGTCTGGGAAGAGGCCAAGAAGGAGGCAGCTTCTCAGTTCTGTTGCCACCCTCACCCCCCAGGAGAGAAACCCGAGTCAGTGAATCACTCTGGGAGATGCCCTTTGGTCTAAAACCCACCTTCCGTCTTTCCATCCTGACTTAGAAACTGCCCTGAAGTTGAGGCAGCTCATGGGGAAATTTGTAGATATTAAATGCTGACACAGGCTTTTTCTCATGTCTGAGCACACCCACACACACAGCTCTGCGTTGTTGAGATTTCAGGCGCTGTCTACTTGGCTAGGAATACTGGCTGGATTCTTCTCCTGTTAGGTCCCATGTCTGATCTTTACCAATCCAAGAGTTACTTTTTTCTCCCAAAACAACGTCCACATACATATCTGCATAGCACTTCACATTTTGCTTCTCTTTTTAACTATTCTTAGTTTGAGGTCAATGAAGAATAGCAGAGGTACAGGGCAGTGATCTGGGGATGAGTTGGGATTTACTGTTGTGCCTTCACAGAGCTCTGACCTGAGGCCAGATCAGAGCTGGAAGTTGAGCAAGTTTATAAGAAGGGACATATTGAGGGTGGGGTAGCAGCCTAGAAGCATATGTGCTATGAAGTCAAAGAAGACACCTGTGTGATCCCGAGCCTTCCCTAAAGCAGCTCACAGAGAAGAATCTGGGAAGTGGAGGGACTTAGGGCTTATGTAGTCCACCCTCTACCTGAAGGACTCACTCCTAAGCCTGCTTGCTACTTCTTGGGATCTTTGCCTCAGGTCAAAGAACAGGTAAGAGAACATCATGGGCTTTGGAGTCTGACAAACTGGGTTCAACTCCTACAGCCATGCCTTACTGGCTTTGTGACTCTGGGGAAGTTAGTTAACCTTCCAAGCCTCCTTTTCCCGTCTGTAAAATTATATCCTACCTAGGCTGGGCGTGGTGGCTCATGCCTGTAATCTGAGCACTTTGGGAGGCTAAGGCAGGAGGCTTGCTTGAGCCCAGGGGTTCAAGACCAGTCTGGGCAACATAGCAAGACCCTGTCTACAAAAAACAAAACAAAACAAAAACAAAACAAAAAAAGTTTTTTAAAATGAGCTGGGCGTGGTGATGCATGCTTATAGTCCTAACTACTTGGGAGGCTGAGGCAGGAGGATCCCCTGAACCAGGAGTTCGAGGCTGCAGTGAGCTATGATCTCACCATCACACTCCAGCCTGAGTGACAGAGCAAGACCCTGTCGCAAAATAAATAAGTAAAATAAATAAACTATATCCTGCCTCACAAGGTTGTTAGGAGATAAAATGAGGAAATGCACAATAAGGGCTAGGAACAGAATGACATACGGAGCAGTGGTTAGTAAATGGTGGTGTCACAACTGGCTCCTAGTATCCACACTGGCCTCTGTGCAGAAATGGAGGTCCAGATGTGAGACTGCAAGTCCTCAGCCTTCAGAGGGACAGGGCTGGATACAGAGGAGAGCCCCGGACAGGGGAGATCTCCTTGTGCCCAACTCTGCAGGACATTCCAGAATTAAGCCCCAAAGAAGGGCTAAGGGATAGGATCATGAAGCCATGAACAAGGCCTGGATGCTGCTCCGAAGCAAGGGCCTGGCCTTCCCTGATGGGATTTTCTCTCTCAAACCTCATTCTCTACCTCCCTCCCCCTTCCCAGTGTGGGCAGGGAACAATCCCCTACCCTCAACCTTCCAAGACTCTTATTTGATGCTTTTAAACTTTTTTCTTTATTTAGACAGAAAAGACCAACTCTTTAAAAGTAAAATGCAATAAATAAATAAGTTAAGCATAGAGAACTGTCTGAAACTGACTCCCCGGTCTCCCCTTACCACTCCCACCCCCACCCCATTTTCTTTTCCCTAAAACCTTCCTAAAGAAAATGATCAGGTAATAAACCCCTTTACCCCTCCCCACACCCCTCCTCCCAATATCCAATTACCCCCCAAAGCAAAGGGAGAAATTAAGAGAGAGAAAAAAATCCAAGGGCAACATTGTCTAAACTCCCAGAAAGAGAGATGGCAGCGTCCGGGCCAGGCCGGGCGGGCTGGATAACGCACGGGTGGTAGTGGTATTTACACGGAGGGAACCAGCAGAGACTGTAAACATTTTTAGGGATTCAGGGGAAGGTCTTTTCCTCGTGAAAGGAGGAGGGTCTCTGTGGCTGACTGGCAGAGAGGCAGCCCTCAGGGCTCCCCCACACTCTCCTTAGAGGGGGCCCTTGGGGGAGGCAGTGAGTTTTAGGGCTGGGAGCCCAAGAGTCAGGGATATCCTACCTCTAGCTAGAGGGTGGAGGGGAGTGAGAGCCAGCTTCCAAGAAACCCCTAATGTGGGGAAGAGGCTGGGGTGAGGGTGGGCTGGGAGTGTATGGCAGGCCCCTGCAGCTCTCCTGGGGCCTGCACAGGTACAACAGGCCCACTGGTGGGGGAGGCAAGTACAAACGCTGGGCACAGAAGGCCCGTCACAGGAGCCCAGCAGAAGGCAGATACCCCGGAACCTTCGAGCCTGTTCCTCGCTCCCTCACAAAGGCCAAAAGGGCATCTAGGAGGAAATTGGCCCTTGGAGGCAGGGAAGCATAGCACGGCCCTTCAGAGAGGCAGGGGGTGGGAGGGGCCGGTGTCTTGTGCCCCCCAGGGGCCACGAAGCAGCGTTTGCCCCAGAACCCAGTCAAGGCCCAGGGCAGGTGTGCGGAGAGGGCCGGGGCCAGTCGTGGGAGGAGGGTGTGAGGCGCCCCTTCCTCTGGTATCTCCAGACCTGTGAAGGAAGAAACATGGGTGAAGCATGGGGAAGAGCCCATGATGCGGGTCATGGGCTCTGGGGGAGGGGAGGGGGCTGGGGTGAGTGACAGCATCTAGGATGGGGCTGCCTGAGGAAAGCAGATCATCAGGCCTCAGTCCAAACGGACCCATCTGCCCCCACCCACCAGCCATGAGAGCAGGGATAGAGGAGACAGGAGGGAGGGGGCGAACCATACAGGAAACCAGAGGATATTAGGAAGGAAATAGTCAAACAGCCCATGAGAAAAATAAAGACTGGAGGGGGAGAGAGGCAAAGAGATGACAACAGACAGGCAGGCAGAGAAATGGAGAGAGAGACAGAGAAGGGAGTGCATGTAAGAGACAGACACCTGGAAAAAAGAAAGGGAACATCCACAGAGAAGGCCAGGGCAGAGCCCAGGTCACAGCTCAGGGATGGAGTCTCATGGGGTGAGACCACCCCCGGCCCCCGGGTAGTGCTCTCATTCCTTTTTGGAAAGGAACACAGAAAGCAAGAGAGAAATGCACAAACACAGACCACAGTCACCAACCACTGTAGACCAAGCACGTCCCGCGAGCTGCCCCCGGCCCTGACCTTGGGCTTGGGGGTGCTTCCCTCCGCGGCCCCTCCCCAAATAACAAACAATCGGCTCCAAAGACAACACGCTCGTTCCATGCAACTTACAGGGGCCCGGAGCAGGGGTCCGGGGATGGGGGCTTCGGCCGACAATGGACACGGGCCCTGGGCTGGGGGGGCCCCCAGGGTAGGGGGAGTTAAGCAGCCAGGATTGGGGGGAAAGGGGAGAAACAGAAAATGTGGGTATTTTTCTTGGGTTGTGTTTTCTCAAGGGTTTGGTCCAAAGGAGATTAAACAATGTGAAAGTAACCAACGCTTACAGCTCTGTGGCCATGAGGTTGAGGTGGTGGCCAGCAATGGGGGTGGAGGGGACCTGATAAGTAAACTTCACAGGCAGCGCATTTCAACCTCTTCCACCTAAACCAGAGCAACTCCCAAGAGGCCAGGAAATGGGCTCCCCCCGTCTGTCCTGTGCACTCTGCTGCCCCATGGGGCTGCTGCTACGTGGGAAAAATCACCTGAAGTCCAGGGCAACCAGGGCTGATGTCCTCACTTCTCAGGACAACAGAGATTCTAGGAGCCAAGGATTCTAGGGCCCTCTGGCACCCTCAGCCAACCCCTTAATCCTCCAGTCCTATTCCCCTAATTCCACTCCAACCCGAAGGAAAACCAGAAAGAGACACACACAGACATGGACACTGACCAGACAAACGAGACCGGATATTGCGGAAGGTCCAGGGAGTGGACACAGATATATACAAAGACTTGGCTCTTTCTGGGTCACAGAGTGTGTGTGTGTGAGAGAGAGAGAGAGAGAGTGACTCAGATTATTGAAAAACAGCTGAGGGAGCTGCCCCAGTCCCCTGCTTCAAGTGCTCAGGATCAAGGGTGGGGTGGGCATCCCTGAGGGTGGTGGAGGACAGGGGTGGGGGGCAGTCCAATCGAGGGCCCTGGCTGCAGTGTGTAGAGCTGGGGAGGGAGGCCACAACACAGGAGCGGGACCCACCTGGGGGCCCTCAGTAGGGCCGGTTGGCATCCTTAGGCCGCTTTAGCTGGACTTTGAGGCGCTTCATGCCGATCTGGAAGCCATTCATGGCCTGGATGGCAGCCTGGGCACTGGCCGGATTGTCGAAACTCACAAAGCCTGGGGTGAGAGGGGCATAAGGCCCGGCACAGCCCCACCTTGCTCTCCTGAGCTTAGGAGACCTCCAGCACTACCCTGTGTCTCCCAAGTGTCCGAAATGCCTAGAAAGCTGCCTGACACCTAGCAGCGTTCCGTAGGAATTTGTTGATGGGTTGAATGGAGGAATCCAGTCCAGCCACTAAAATTACCACGTTCTTCCCAGCATTCTGTGCAGGGACCCCTTCCTCTGCCTGGATAACTCTGAGCCTGCCCTTTGAAAATGGCCACTTCCAGGCCCTAAATGGCTTCTGAAGCAGAGAAGAACATTCCCTTTTTCCCCTGAGGCAGCCTTTCAAAGATGTGAAGGCAGCTAAAACCGACTCCCTAAGCCTGCCTTTTGCAAACCAAACATCCCCAGACCATGAGCCTATTTCAGACCTCATGAGGCATGAATTTGGCCAGTTTTTAAGAGAAAAGCTGAAGGAAGAAGAGATGGGCCTGGGCAGCAGCTGGGTGTGGCATGTTGGGTGTGTCAAAATGGTTCTTTTGTACTCTTGGATAATCAGCATTTCAAATACTGGGTCCACTGTGACCATAAATGCCTTCAAATATATTAGACCTTGTCCTGATTTGGAATATGGCAAAAAATGTGCCATATCATATTCTTACCAAAACATTTGCTCTGATTGGTGGCCCGGTCAACAAAGACTTTGGCTGAGATGACATGGCCAAAGGGGACAAACATCTGGAGGATCTCTGAGTCAGTGAACTCCTGGGGCAGGTGGTAGATGAAGATATTGCAGCCATCAGGGCCTGGGTGGCGGCAGAGACAGAAGAAAGAGCTCAGTGACTGGGAGGCGCACGCTCCAGGAGCAAAGGTCCCAGGGAAAGCAGATCCTGGGAGGGCCCTCCAGTCCCAGTCCTCGACAGTGTGGGCCAAGCCACCCCCTCCCCACTTGCTTTCATCATGACACATGGGCAAGAGCTGGGCTCAGCACAGGGCAATAGGGAGTCCCCAAGCCCATAACGAGGGCATTCCAATCTCCCAAGGCCCCAGGCAGTACCTTCTCTTTGCTGCTGTTGCTGCTGCTGCTGCTGCTGCTGCTGCTGCTGCTGCTGCTGCTGCTGTTGAGGGGGTGGTGGGGGCTGCTGGGCGACCAGGGCTGGAGGCTGCGGGAATGCAGGCGCCACCAGGCTGTAGGCTGCTGGGTAGGCTGCTGGGGTGGGGAGGACAGAGAGGCTGATGGGGCTTCCCTGGCTTCTTAAGCCCTCCCAGCCAACCCTGTCTCCCCCTAGCCCAGGCCAGTGGCAGCTGCAGGGCTGAGAGGTTGTCAGGGAAGGAGCTGCCTCAGACCCCTGGGTGTGCTGCCCTTAAAGACCCCTCCCCACAGTTGGGCTTGTCAGTAAAGCCTGAAGAGGGTGATTGGCAGGGAGCCAAGAAGCCCAGACCCAGTTACTGGGCCTCTTTTCCTCCTGCTGCCCCTCCCACCTGAGCAGGGGCCCGGGCTAGGGCGCCTCACCTGTGTAGTGCTGCATCCCCGCGTAGGCCTGCTGCAGGGGGTCCACGGGAGCTGCGGGGCTCTGGGCTGGGGAGAGCAGCACAGACCATGAGCGTGGACGTGGCATGCAGTGGGAGCCCCCAGTGCCTCTCTGGGCCTCTGGGCCGAGGCCAGGCAGGTGGGGAGCAGAGCTTCTCTGGGCATGGGGTGTGAAGTGAGAAGATGGAAATGCACAAAGCAGTGGGAAGAGGGGAAAGAGCCCAGCATTAGGAAGACTTGGGTCTGACTGTCTTGCAACCCTGGACAGGTCGCTTCACTGCTCTACACCTCAGCTTCTTGGCCGAGCCCAACAGGAAGGATCATCCCCGCCCAGGATGGCAGGGCAGGAGGAAGCACCTGTAACCCCCAAAGCTGGAAGGGAAGGTGTGTCCTGCCTCCCTAATGGGAGTGGTGGCTTAGATGGTTGCTGGGATGGGGTGGGCAGGCAGAGAGTCCCACCTGGGTAGGGGTGAACCCCGTTGGGATACAGAGCATCAGGGGCAGGCTGCCCAGTGGGCTGAGTGGGCACTGGGCTGTAGCCGTTGACGCCCAGGGCAGCCGGAATGGCAGAGACAGGCGTGGCAGCGATGGCAGGAGGGGTGCTGGTTCCTGGGGAGGAGAAAGCGACAGGGACAGAGCAGAGGAGCAGACACACACACACACACACACACACACACACACACATATGCAGAGAACCAGTCAGGAAGTCTGCGGGCGGAGGGGAGGAAGTAGGCCACTCTGACCCCTGAGTCCCTCCTAGACCCCGAGGCTTCCCTGAGCAATGCCCTGTGCCTCTCCCTACCCCTACCACGCTTAGCTCCCTTGCCCAGCCTTGCCCAGGCCATACCTGAGGATGGGGTGATGGGGGTGGCGATGAGGCCATTGGCATTGATGGCAGCCATGTGCTGCATCTGCACAGCAGCCATGGTGGCCATGGGGCTGAGGTAGGCACTGTGAGCCGCTACCAGGGCCGCCTGCTGCTGCATCAGCTGGGGGGAGGGGAGAGGAGAGTGGGGCAGGCCTCCTGTGCCCCAGCCTGGCTCCCTCCCAGCCCTGGGTCTTGGCATCAGAAGGGTGGGGGCAAGATACTGGGGGTCAGGAGGGCTGGCCCGGCATTGGGGGCAGTGCTCACGGCCTGGGTGTAGGCGCTGTAGGCTCCGAACTGGAGGGCGATGGGGCTGAACATGCCCAGCTGGGTGGCCACCTGCTGCATGCGGCGGAGACCCCGCTCCTTCTCAGTGTCAGCAAACTTCACCACCAGGCTGGACGAGGCACCCTGGGCACGGGCCCGCACACAGGTCAGAGGTGCAGGGTCAGGGTCTCTCCTCCCCAGAGCCCTCAGGACCTGGTCTCCATTCCACCCCCATGGCATGGCCTGGCCTCTCTGAGAGGGCGGCCACCATTTTGCATATGACAGATGGGGAGATTTTAATCCCACCCTCTCCCTGTGCTAGGATGTGCTAGAAGCTAGAAGAAAAATTGAGGAATGTGAAGGCATGTGCTTGGAAAGTGAAAGACCTACTAGAATGGAGAGGGCATCATTGGCTTCTCTGTGAGGACTCTGAACTGGAAATCATCCCCACCCCGGGTCGCCACAGCAGATGTTTAATCTCAGGCTAGTCTTCCCTTGTAGCTGCCCTGCGTGCCTTACCACGACTTCTGCCCCCACACCCCAGTCCTCATGGTGTGCCTCAAATCTTAATACTAGTCTGAGCTGAATAAAAGCCAAATTAGAGCATCTGCAAGGACGATGGTAGAATCCTAGAATCTCAAAGCTGGAAGGGGCATAGGGTCATTGGACACAGTTCTCTACCCAATGCTGTGTCCCCTCCGCCAAGTCCCCGTGAGTTATGCTGGAGAGCTGTGAGTTATGGGAAGTGCACAGCCTTCTGAGTCAGCCAGTTCCAGTTTAGAGGTGGGTTCTAGGGTGGTCACTGACCTAACGCTGCTGTGCAGGGGCAGGGAAAGGGGGTGTACGTGGGGCCTCTAAGAAAGTGTCCTGGTGCCCCAGCAAATGAGGGTAGGGGGATATGGGAAGGCTGGAGAAGAGATGGGGGTGAAGGGAGGGCTGGGGAATGGAGGGGGAAGGAGAGGGACATGAGGGAAATTTGGCTGAAGATGGATGGGGAGTAGGGGAGGAGTGGGGAGGTGGGGAAATGCCATTTGAAATGTGAGGGTGTCCCTAAGCTGTTTGGTTCTTCTGCCAGAACATTCTTTTCCAATAAATTCAAATAGCCCATCCTGAGTGGACTGCTTATCTGGGCCAGGGCCTGGCGGGTGGGCAGGGTGGGAAGGAGAGGCCCAGGGGCAGGGGAGTGGGGCTCACTGGCAGGGTCCGGCTGCTGTGAAGGGTGTTGATGGCTGCCTGGGCCTCGGCGTGGGTCTGGAACTTCACGAAGGCGCAACCTGGAGAGGTTGAGATGGAAGAGGAGAGGGGTGAGCACCCATCCCCATGGGACTCCGCAGTGGAACCCGATGCCTAGGGAGCCATGGGGGTGGAACGGGAAGGGGAAGGGCCTGGTGGGGAAGGGGCAGTGGGTGGGCTACCTTTGCTAGTGCCATCTGGCCCCCGGAGCACAGTGCACTCGTCGATGGTGCCGAAGGGCTCAAACATCTTCCGGACATCCTCATCTGTCTGCTGCTTCCCTAGCATCCCCACAAACAGCTTCCGGTCTTCTGGGTGATAGGGCACAGGAGGAGGGCATGTTCAGGGCCTCCTTGCTGCCTTCCCAGCCCTTCTCCTTCCACCCTTCCCTAGAGCTCCTAACACTACTTCCACTACCCTAGGGGCCAGTGGCTGTGGGGGCTGATGGTTAGGGAATGGGGTACATTGCAGAGGTTGCTCATCCCAGCTCTGAGGGACTCGCACTCCGCCCTGGGCCTCGGTTTTGCCATCTGTACCCCCCCAGATCTCGCCCCCTCTGGCCACACTGACTCCGGTCTCACCACAGCTGGGAACTCTTCAGAATCGTCGGGCTTTCTCCCTCAAGAAAGGCTACCCCTCGACAACTCCAGGCCCTGGGCCTGAGGGTGGGAGGAGAGGGACAGAGTCCAAAGGCACAGAACCTACCTCCTCGGCTCTCGCTGTCGGCTGGCTTGACCTGGATCGGCCTGTTCATCTGAAGGAGAGAAGAGAAGGCAGCTGCTGGGGACCTCCTCTGAACACCCAAGAGCCCTCCCAGGCCGGGCCCTGCAGAGAGACTAGAGGGGCAAGCCCCAGGCCCTCTAAGTTTCTGATAGGAAGGAAGGGACAGGGCCTAATATTGTTCAGGATGAAGGCCTGAGGGGATCAGAGGCACGGAGAGAGAGGATGTAGAGGGAGATGCTCATGGGCACAGCTCCAGGCTCAGGTTGGGCTCCCAATGACTTGGCCAGGGATGGGTGCTGCTGTCCTGAGTGGGAGAAGGGGGCCTGCGCATAGGACCCGGGGACTGAGAGAGAGCCCAACCAAGGGGTTATTTAATAAGAATTGCCTCAATTCTACAAAGTGGGCGCAACAGAGGCCACTCTGTGAAGAAGCCCCAAGGAGGACTCTAGACCGAGGGAGACCTCACAGAGGCCCAGACTTCCTTCTGACCTCTAGAGTTGTGTCTGCCTCTCTTTCTGCCCCCCTATACCCCTTGACCCCAGGGGGAAGGCACTTGGGCAGCACAAAGGGAGCAGATGCCCAGTCTCCGTGGCAACGGGAGAATGCGCACCATGGCAACCGCCCACTCAGCCTGATTTATCCGTCCCCGTCGCCCTGGCGACCGTGGTGACGTCATCACTTCTGCTGCTCCACACACCCAGAGAAGGAGTGGGGTGGGGGGTGGTAACAGGGTATGCTGGGGGTGGAGGATTTGGTGGGGGCTGGGAGGTGGGGGAGGGGCCCAGAAAACCTTCCTGATTCTGGAGGGAGGCTTGCAGAGCAGGCCCTGCAGGGGCCATCCCATCCCTTCTCCTGCCTCCCTCCTCCAGAGCAAATCCTTGGTGCCTGGAGGGCTCTAAAGGAGGAGTTGCTGTCCCGTGCTCCTTCGCAATTTACCCTGTGCACGGAAGTCCTCCAGAGCTCTAACCTCTCCCAGACCCCTGCAGTATCTCCCTTTGTTCAGTCTTCAGTGGAAATGGAGAAATTCCTAGTTCCACTCTCCATGTTCTTGTCTGGTGAGAGGACTTGGAAATTACTCCTGCAGGTTGATTTTCTTAACCAGGGTGGGGAGTATTATAGGAACTGGAGAAAGAGGAGAAGGACTTAGTATTTCGTGTCTGAAAATATTTTGCTCTTGAGGACTCTGACAGCTGGAACCACACCTGGTTGCCCCACTCATCTGATGGTGGGGCAGTAGTTCCAGTGACCAAAAAAATTAAACCATCCATTTACATTCTGAGGGTGAGGCTAGAGGTACCCTCAGGAAAGGCACTGGACTGGGAGTCAGGAGACCTGGATTTAAGGACTAGCCCTGCCCTGCCACTTACTAGCTGGGCGGCCTTGGACAAGCCACTTGTCCCCTCTGGGCCTCAACTTCCTTATCTGTAAAACAAGGGAGTGGGCCAGGCGATGTCTAGTCAGGTTCCGGTCAGCTCCAGGGCTTCAGCATGTGGAGATCATGTATGTGGCATCACTTAGCGCCAAGAAGTACAGAAGTCACAGTTGCCCCTGCCCCTTCTCACCCTGGATCCTCACCCAGGTGTCCATCATGCCAGTCAGTCTGGCCGACTCCACCAGTTAGGTATTCCCGGCCTCGGACCAAATGTAAGCCCCACTTCAACTGATACTCCTATCCCAGAGCCCCACGCCCACCCCCCAAATCTCTGGATCTGAGAGCAGCTGGTGGGGAGGGAGGGTAACAGTCACACAAATCCTCCAGCCAATCTGCCCCCAGCTTTATCGCCCGCCAATCTGGGATTATCCCATCCGAAGCTCAATCTCCTTAGGCGTGTGTGTGCGCGCGAGTGCGCATGTGCAGGCAAAGCACAGTGGGTCAGATGCTCGGGGTGCACGGGCTTTCACCTCCTTCTCTCCTGTGCTCTAGCCAAAGCACTCAGGAAATTCCCTCACAGGCACCTCTGCAGCCAGGCACCCACCCCTATGCCCACCTCACAAGAAGTAGAATCAGAACCAGGGTTGGGGGATTCTTACGCTTGGCACTAGCCCCTTCCCAGCACGCCTGGGGATTCGCTGTTCTAGATGGAGACGGGAACCTGGGACCCAGAGAGAAAGGATGCAGTTCCCTTCTGGCATAGGCTCCCAGGCACAAAAATAGCATCTCGAGAAATACCCATGGCTGATGTGGATTCGCACAAAGAGACACACAAGTGTACAAACCACAGCAAGGACCGTGCTTACGGTAGGCTCCCCCTACACGGTCACAGACAGGGCCCTTGGCGCCCCAGTGTCCCCTTCCCAGCCTCCTTCTTCGTGGCCTGGCACTTCCTGTGGGGAGCTCAGGCTTTGTTAGCTCAGCTCGGGCACACCTGCCCCCTCCCCTGAGTCCAGCTGTGCCCTGTTTACCTGGCAACCAGGCACGGTGCCTCTCCTCCCTAGTTACTACCCACCAGGTGACAGGCCCTCCCTCGGGCCTCCCAAAGAAGAAGGGGCTATTTATACCCCAACCCAGTATCGTGGAGCCCCTCCACCACGGTCACTTTTAAGGCCCTCATCCTCGCCAATAGCAAAAATTCCACTTTCAAGAAGACCTCACAGTTCTCACAAAATCTAATTCTTTTGAGGGTACAGCCTGGGGTCCTGCCACTCCTGGCTCCACACTTGTTCCCGGAGTCCCAGACCACTCACGGGTTCTCTCTGTGGGGCCAGAATCCACCTTCCTGACTGCAGGCCGACAGGGAAGGCCTGTGTTCCCCAAGTGGGATTTTGGTTCAGGGTGAAGGGGGAAGAGCTGGACAGAGGGCAACCCCCACTCTACCGCCTCCAGGAGGCCACACCCTGCTCACAGGACAAATGCAGGGACCTGTGGCAGAGCCACTCCTGGGAACTCTTAGGGCAGAGAAGAGGAAATGGGGCTCAGTAGCTATAGGCCCAGCCCCCATTCTTTCTCTTTCTCTCTGCAGCCCAAAATATCACCCTAGTATGGTAGCACCTTCTAGATTTTGGGGGTGACAGAGATGGGGAGCAAGGAGAGGGGGCTAAATGTCTCCCATTAAAAAAAAAACCTGCAGTAGGAAGGCATGGAGATTAAACAGTAGGAAGAACACAGTTATGCAGGAGCTGACACAATGCACACACACACGTGTGCATGCATACACACGTGCAAACACACACTGAGGGGAGAATGCAGGTGAAAGGAGAAGACTTGAGGAAGACAAAGGGTCACAGACGTCTGCTCCCCACAGCTGCCCTGGATCTGCTCCTTCACACCCTTTGGATGAGGGTCTGCCTTGGAGGATGGAACCCTCATTTCCTACTGGAAGCTCTGTCAGATCCCTCTGGATTCTGTCCCCTGGGGCAAGGACTAAGGTGGAGAATTCAACCTGGGAGCTCTGGAGCAGGGCTAGACAATCATTAACCAGGCGCCCTTCTTCCTCACCCCCATCCGGGCCTGGACTTCCTCAAGAAGGGCAGGTGGCGCCTCTCCACACCCAGGATGGAGCTCTGCCTGAGCTGCCAGGCAGCTGGAGGGGCACAGACCCAGGGTAGACACCCACAACTGGTACACATCACCCTTGGGGCTCATGCCCATCCCCAGGCTGTCTCTCATCCATGTTTTCACTCCAATCCTCTTTATCTACCTTTTGCTCTGACCCCCTCTCATTTCTGCAGGGGCTCCGAGATAGGGAGACAACAGAAAAAGACAAATGGTGATGGAGATGAAAACTGTTGATTTGTGAGGGGCCTCCACAGAGAAAAACGGGGAAGGCAAGTTGGGACTGGATGGGGACCAGGTTTGCCAGGGATACGTGTGCCCAAACCCCGCACATCTGGCCTGTCAGGAGCTCACATGCCTGTATGCACAAACACACACTCGCCTTGGGTCCTGTAGCTCACACACGTGCATGACCCTTAACTCCGGCTGCGACGGGCAATGGCTATTCTTGCCACCAACTGGGATGAGATCGTTGGTGGGGGTGGGGTTTTTGGTGGATTTGCCAAAGTTGGCTTTGCTTTCCTAGCAGTGCTCAAAGGTTGAGGCCACGGAAGGGCTGGGTCATGGACCTCTGCAAGGTTTGAAGTTGGGGGTGGTTGCAGCAGTTCTAATTTTCCCAGGTCTCCACCTGCCCTTTCCCCATCTGTTTTTTCTATTTCCCTCTTAGGAAGAGATGGGTGAGCAGCAGCAGTCTCCACTTCCCATGCTGGAGAAGCAGTAGAGGCCAGGACAGATGTGTCTCTGGCACCCAGACCCTGCTGAGCAAATGTTTGCTGAAGGTGGGGATGGAGTTAGGTCTCAGGAAGGCACTTGCTGGGATTCACAGTCTGGAAGAAGGCAGAGCAGACAGATAGCAAAGGGAGTGGGGGCATCCTTTCCCCCCAGCTTCCATGACCGGGGAAGGGGGACAGTCCAAGGTTCTTTCTTCCTGCCCTCAGTTGCCAGCCCAGGCTTGGAACAATAAGCAAGGCTGGCTGGGAAGAAGAAGACACAAAGAGATAGGACCTTGCAGGAGAGGGGCCACCTCCGTGGCCACCCCTGCCTCCCTGGGCATACTTGGTAGCATCAGGCCTGATCATCTACAATGTCTGTCCCTGCCCTTGCCTGCTACTCTCAGGCCTACCTCCAGCCCAGACCTGCCTGGGCCTGCCCAGGCCCTGCTTTACCCTAATGCTCTGTGGCTTTGTTCCTGGGACTCTTCCTGGTAGACAGAAAGGAGAAGGGAGCTCAAGAACCAGCACCGAGATGCCAATCCAGCCGGCACCAGCTGCCTGTTCTCAGGTCACAGGCACTCCTCCCTCATCTCACAGCCAGCCAGTCTGCCCTTCCAGAGTGACAAAAGCGTGCCTGGGTGCCTCCTGCTCACCCTGATCCACACTTGGTGTCCAGAGACTTTTCCCCACACCTTCCAACCAGCGGGTCCTCCCTCTAGTGTTGCCCCATGGGCAGCTTGGGAAGTGGGGAAGGGGCTGCATCTGCTCCTGGTAAAAGTCATGTTTACTCCACTAATCGCTGCTTTCCTTCTCTCTGGGTAACAAGAAATGCATGCATCTGTAGCAAGAAAGATGGATGCTAGAGAGAGAGAGAGGGACTTCCTGGTGATGAGAGCAGGTGGAAAATATGCTCAGTGTCAGGAGGGTGGTGAGCCTCCTGCCATTTCTATGGCCCTTCTCAGCCCCCTGGCCCTGCAAAGGGCAGGACTCACCCCTGGAAGTGTCTTCTGTTCGTGTAGGGCGCTCTGGGCCTTCAGGGCTGAATCCCGGGCACAGTATGTCAGGAAGGCACATCCTGAGGAGGGGCAGGGGCAGAGAAACACGGCAGGGGGCGGTGAGTCCTCCATCTCCCCTCTCTGAAAGGCTCCCTTCCAAAGACTGACGACTGAGAAGCTTTCCCTTCTTGTCATCTTCTGCCTGCTGGGGTGGGGAGGTGTCTCCAAGGGGTAGACACTCTGCCCCAGAAGTGGGGCAGACACCTGGAGGCCTAAATACTGGTGGTGATGGAAGAGGGAGGACACTTGGGCTGTCAGGAGATGGGCTTTGTGTAAGGAGAGGAGAAGGACCATGTGACTGCCAGACAAGTTGGAGCAGTGTGGCTTTCTCTCCTGCTGAGCTGTTCTCCTTTCCCCTCTCCCTCACCTCTACCTCCCTCCATCTTGGTCACCATCATCCCTCTCTTCTCCCATTTTCCCTATTTCCTCATCTCTCCCCAACTCCACCACAGGCAGGTGGAGGGTGGAGAGTGAAATAGAGAAGGGAAGGGAAGAGCAGTTAGCCGGAAGTGCCTCTTCCCTGTGCCAGGTGGAGGGGGAGCTAGTGTGGCCCCTGGGATCTCCAGTGCGTGGAGCTCTCCAAGTGCTGACCCCGACCGCCCTGCCTAGCCGCACAGCCCTTGGATAGGCCTGAGGAGCACCCTCCCTTCTCCCTCACTCTCTTAACTTTCTAAGCCTCCCACACTTTCCAGATCTTTACCAATCTCCAGCCTTCATGCCCTGCTTCCTAGTCCCTCTCTTTAGTCCTGGAGCTGCCTTGCCCAGTCCAGCTCCACGCTTTCCACATTAAGCACCTGACCCTGTGTCCTGACCCCCATTCCAATATTATCTGAGGCTGCTCAGATTCTCAGTCTTGCTACACACACACACACACACACACACACACACACCCCTACCCAGCTGCTTATCTCCCAAACCAGCTCTCTTGTCCCTCCATTCTTTCTTGAGTTCATCCCATGTGACATCAACACCCCCATATGTCTGGGATCCACATCTTTGCGCCCTCTTGACAACTCTTTGCCCAAAAGAGGCCCTCCTTAGTCCTTCACCTGGGTTTCCTGATCACTAGCTGAGTTCTTTTTATGCTCCTCCATCCACTTTCCCCAGCCCTGAACTCCTCTCCTTCCACATCAGCCCTTCCCAGCCGCTCCACCCCTCCAGCCTGGCTTAACTACCCCCAGCCTCCCAGACCACCCCGAAGCCTCTTCAGCCTGCCCGACCCCTCACCCTTGTGCAGCCCGGTGTACTTGTCCTTGATGACAGTCAGCTCGAAGATCCGACCAAACTGTTCGAAGATGGGCTTCAGGTCCTTCTCCTCCAGATGCCTCGGGATCTGCCCCACAAACAGCTTGATGGCATCCGGCTCCTTCATCGAGGCGGCCCAGGAGGAGGGCCGAGGGAGCAGGGAGAGACCCAAAGGCCAAGGGGAGCTGCCCAGCAAGGAGATAAGTGGTGGGGCCCGGGGGCCCAGCCGGGGCTGGCTTTCCCTTTGGCCCCCAACCACGCTGCTGAGCAGAGGGGCGGCTCTTCACACAAAGGAGGCCCAGGGAGTTGAGGGCTAGGGGTCAGGGTCTAGGCAGACGCTGTCATGCCACCAGGGGGCATCGCCCAAACAAACGATCTCCCTCCCAGAGATCTGGCAAATGTCCCAGGATGGGGGTGAGTGTGGCCAAGACCTGGAGGGAGAGGTGGTAGCTGGGGCGCTGGGGCTTAGAGGGCTGGGAACTGGGAGTTGAGATGAGAGCTGGAGGCGGGGAAAGGGCCTGAGGAGGGTGATAGGGAGGAGACTGAGGGGTTAAGGGGCCTGCTATGGTTGCCAGCAGCGTCAGTGAGGGGGGCCCACTCCTGATGTGGGGCAGGTGAATGTCTCGTTGGCTTCCCTGGGAGGACACCTCCCCTGTGACGGATCCTTCTGCTGGGTCCGAAGATCCCTGATGCCAGATGCTTGATCTCTGATGGCGGCAGGGCTTCAGGGGTCCCTTTTGCCCTGCCGCCCCCCTTCAGGTCCTCCCCTCAGCCCCCCTCCCACCCCCACCCCAGTCCCCGGGCCTGGGCTGCTGCCGGCTGCTCCCGCCGCTGGGGCTGCCTGCTTTCCCGGTCACCTGGGTCCCGGAGCTCTGCTCTCCGGCCGCGCTCTCCTCAACAAAAACCTCCCCCCTCCACACCCCCCTCCCCACTCCCACCTCCTTTCCCCTGACATCAGTGATGTCAGTCTCAGGGGTCGAATACAAATTCTCTACCCTGGAGAGGGACGCACAATCCAAGCAAGAGCCACGCCCTCTTTCTATCTCCATCCTCCCTGACTCCTTTCCCGCCCCCAGAAGAGCAGCTGGTCCTGTTGATAATAACCCTTCCCCCATCTTACTCCCCAGTCAGTAGTTGGGCAAAGCACTAAGATGGAGAATTTACAGAGGAACCCTAAAATGGGGTCCATTGTTCCGGGGGCTGGAGCTGTCCCCGGTGCTGGAAGACTCAGGAGATGGGGGTTTGGGGGGGGAAGAGGGGAGCCCGGCATCTGGGGAGCCCCGAGAGTAGAGAGTCAAGGAAAGAAATCAGGGGAAAGAAGATGAGATAGGACGGTTGGACAGGCTGAAGGGGAAGGAGGTGTAGATGGAGAGGGAAGCAGGTCGCAGAGTCTGGGGGAAAAAGAAAAAATGCAGAGAGGAAAAATGGAAAGGAACGTGGGGAAGGCGAGAGCAGGATGAGATGAATGCAGAAAGAGAACTGTATATTTTCCAGAAAAGGAACCAAGAAAAACGATAGCTTTCTGGCATTTGCCGACGCCCCCTTCTCTCCCTCTGGGGGGTTTGTGAGTATAAGTGCGTGGGCAGGGAGGCCGTGGAGGAGGCGCGGCGGGCGCTCTCACTTGTAAGCTCCTTGAAGACCAGGACATCGTTTAATTCAGCATCTTACTGTTCATAGTGTCTAGCACCCTGTCTTGCTCATGCGTAGCAGGAGCTTAACAAACACTTCATGCAAAGAACCTCTGACAACAGTGGATTCCTGATTCCTTCAGTGGGAAGAACCACAGCTGTCAAGCTTCCCCTTAGGATGTAGAAACCCAATTACTCTTTCCTTTGCTTCTTTCTTCAGTTGGGTTCTTTGAGTGGGACTCAAATTGAGCCAGGTAGCACAGAGGAGCAGGGGAGGCACATTCGGGGACCATTGCTCCCCTGAACGTGGATACTTCTATGGATGATTGGCAGGCTCCACGATCTGGAGGGAGCGTGAGCACACCCTCAGTGCAGGGATTATCTGTGGACATCAGACCTTGTCAGTGGTGGCAGCCCTTGCTTTCCGTCAGTGCTCAGCAACGGGGGCTCTCCTGGGGTTCTGGGCTTTTGTAGAGCACCCTGTCTTCCTGTCATTCCCTTCTTCACCCCCGGAGTAGGGCTGCTGTTTCCACAGGGCACTCGTGTCTCTAAACTGTGTCCCAGCTGAGTCCCAGGGGCCTCCATTCCTGAGCTATCACAGCAGGCAGGCTTCTCTTCTGGAAGGAAAATAATAGTAACAGCCAGTGCTTACATGGCTCTTACAGTGTCCCAGGCTTTGTGCCAAGTGCTTTATATTTACTAACTCCTAAACCCTCACCACCCCCTATGATGTAGATTTTGTCATTATCTCCAAATAGAGAGGAGGTAACCAAGACACAGAGCTGAAATAACTTGCCTAAAGCCATGCAGCTAGAAAGAGGTCTAGCTGAGATTGGAGCCCGGGCAGTCTGGCTCCTGTGTCCACGCATTTAACTCCCACATCAAACATTCCTCTTGAGAATAGGAGCAGTGGTGAAGTCTGGCCTTTCTTCCTCTTCTGTCTCCATTTAAGCCCTGGATGAGAGAGAGTCCTTCTTTTTACTGCTTGATTCTGTGGACCACCTCCCATCCTTCCTTAGCCTGTTTATTTGTTGTGGCCTGGAGCCACACTCCGGCAGGTGCTTGCATTTGAGTGAATGTGTATGTGTGTAGACTTGATTACACTTCAACACATGGATGCCCAGGTCCACCAAGTAGGGTCCTCTAAGATGGGGTGGCAGTGGGGGAGGTGCTAGAGGATTCAGTGGTGGGTGCTCAGAAGCAGCGAGTGATGGCAGAGCCAGGGAATCTAGAAGGGCAAATATATCTTGAAAGTAACTTTCCACTCACCTACCCCACCCCCACTGCTCCTTTCCTTGCCTTCTAATCTGATCTTGGTATTTATGGAGATGCTAAACAGATCATGCCCTCTGAGGATGGAGAAGGGGAAGACCCTATGGCCCTGTTGATCTCATTACTCTATGTCTTCTCAGCAGATCTGACGCCCTGCCGCTCATTCAGGCTTGGGGCTAATCATATTAATTGAAATATTAAACATTCACAAAAATGAATTAAAATGAACTCCCCTCACTCCTCCTCCCAGTCAGTAATTGGGGAGACAGCTGCAGGCAGCAAAATGCCTCCAGTCCTTTGCTTAGTTTGTGGTCCTTAGATTAAAGGTGTCAGTCTGAGAGAAGAGGTAGGGTTTAGGGGAGAAGAGTGGTACCTCTCATCAGACTCTCCTTGCTGAGTGACTGTGAACACATCTCTGGTGTTCTTTCAGGCCATGGGATGGGAGTCCTGTGAGGTAAAGACAGAAGAGCCCTGAGACTCCAGCGCCTATTCCAGAAAGTTTCTCTCTAGGAGGGACAGAGGCTTCCAGGATACTTTCTCTGCCACTACCCCCAAGCTCACCCTCTTTTTCATTCCTCTGCAGTCAAAGCTAGGTTGCCCTACATAAAAAGATTATTGAATTTGTAAAGGGAGAGCTCTGATCCTGGCTTTAGATTCTTAGGAAATGAGAAATGCCGGATAACTGGGATATTTTTCAGAAAGGGCAAAATGTGGTGGTATGTGTGGGCAGAGTGACCAGTCATCAAATACTGTCTGGCTTCACAAATTGAATACAGAGTGAAGACATCTGCAGCAGAATTTATGAGAGCGCACAAAGAATTGATTCTATAACCTTCCTGCCCTCAAGTGACTTCCACCTCAAGTGGAAAGACAGGCCAACACAATACATAATAGTGAGTATGGAGACGCTGTTAAAAAAACAAAAAGTAGCCCCTCTCATACATGGGCATTTTGGGCCATAGAATGTGATCAGTGAAGAAAGGCTTGATTGATTATCAAAGCACAAGAAGATCATAGATTGGCAGAGGGAGGATATCAATTTTCTACTTGGAGGTGGGGAGGTAGAGAACACTGTGCATGCCTGTGTGTGTCTGTGTGTGTAGGTTTGCTGGTCCAGGCTCTGGCATTGTCTAATATAATACAAGCCACATATATGGCTTAAAAATTTCTAGTAGCCATACATAAAAGCAAAAAGAAACAAGTGAAATCACTTTTAATAATAAATGTTGTTTAACCTGATATATCCAAAATACTATTTCAACATGTAAATCAATTACATGTTATCAATGAGATTTTTTTCATATCAAGCCTTCAAAATCCAGTGTTTATTTTATATTTGCTGCACATTTAACACCTACAGCCACATTTCAAGTGTTCAAGAGCCACAGGTGGCTCGTGGAGACTGTATTGGCTGGCACAGCTCTATATTGGCTGGCACAGCTCTGGAGGTGCCACCACTAGCTTCTCTGGAGGGAGTGTGGGGAGAAGACAGATCTTGGCCAACAGGAACCATTATCTCTGGTTAACCTCTTGCTCCTGCCGGAAAAAAAAAAAAATCACTTCTGACAGATGGCAGCTTATCTCTCTCTCACTCTATTAACTCTCTCTCTCTCTTAAAAAAAGACAAACAACCAAAATGATCACTAACTGGGATGGGGTTCCTGGGAAGTGGCTTGTAGCCCACAAACTAATTTACTTCTTGTGGTTTTCCCTGGCTTGGGAACTGCCAACACTTTCACTTCTTTTCCTCAGTCTTTGCTGGAAAGACAGAGGCAGACCGTTGACAACCCTATCCACGACCAGGGCCTAATGCTGAGCTTGTTTCTCATGGTATTTTCTTGCTCCTTAGGGAGTTGTTCACAAATCTGAAAAGACAGCCTCCCGTTTTTTCTCCTGCTTCTCAGAAGGCCTCTGCTGAGCACGATCTCTGCGGGGGTAGGAGCTCGGCATGTGTGTATTGATAGACAGGCTCATGCCCTTTCTCGTGGCTATTTTCAGCTCTCTGGCTTTATGTTTCACTTTCTCTTCTTAATTAGATACTAGAAGAACAAATCTTGAAAACCAAATTCCCTTTCTCCTCCCGTGTTCAGTTAGGAGTGGAAGAAAATAATTTAGAATTTATGAGAACAGGGTGAAGAGAAAGTTAATCTACACAAAAAAGTCAGTCCAAGAGGGGGAAATTCTGGCAGAATGTCCCCGGGGTCCTTTCCAACATCTTTAGTTGGAGAGAACGTTCCTTCCTTTGCAGAACTCAGCTCACTCTATGTTCTGGGGTGCTTCCACGTTGTTTGAAGAATCCACGGCTCCAGTGTCGAATGTGTACAGGACAGAGGGACGGGTTGGCTTGTGGGACAGTGGAAAGGGAATAAGCCTGGGTTCTCTTTCCCCAGTACTAGGCTTCCTCTAGCTTCTGTCCAAGTGAGGGAGTCTGGAAGCAGATTCTGGGAGATCTTTTTTCCTGTTGTTTTACTCTAGAGCTAAGAAAAAAAAACTGAGGTTGGGTGGGGTCAAGAAGGGCTCATTCCACATACAATTAAGTCCAGAAATCAGTCCCCCAATCCTGGAAACACGATCCTTTAGAGACCCCCGCCCCGCCCCCGCCCCGGCCCCGGAGCTCACCCTTCAGCTCCCTCAGTCCCTCGCCCCAGCTTCGCTGAAGGGGCCGGGCTTGGGGGCAGGGCGGGGCCTCGCCGGCTCGCGGCCCGTCGCCTTGACGACCGCAGCAAGATGGAGACGCCGCTGAGCTTGCTGCGGCGGCCCGACCCCGGGGTGCTTAGCGCCGCGCAGCTGGAGCAGCTGCGAAAATTCAAGGTGGGTGCGCCCGCGCCCCTACCCGGCGTCCACCAAAGTGTAGCTCCCCAAGGACTGGGGCCCAGACTGGGAAGAGAGCCGCCGAGAGAAGGGGAGCGGGAGCCTGTTCCCTGACAAAGTGGGGAGGGTGCAGGGGGGGACCCCCGGCGGACCTCTGGGCGTCTGAGCCCAGCACAGAGCGCCATGGGTGTCTGAGAGTACAGGAAGAACTAACTCAGGGACTCGGCGAGAGAAATGGGCCGAAATTACACATCCGACCTTAGTTAAGGCCCCTCAGCCTGAACAGGCGGCAGAATGATATTTTATCTGTAAGAAGATGGGTGGCTTAAACTTTCAAGCGTCCTGGGGAAAGACTTGGGTTAAATGCGCACGCCGTTTCCCGCAGCCCCTCACATCTCCAGGGCTGAACCCTGCATCTGTTTCCTCATGGAGTGACCTTTTGTTCTTGCCCCCCAGATTCAGACTCGGATTGCTAACGAAAAGTACCTAAGGACCCACAAAGAAGTAGAGTGGCTCATAAGTGGTTTCTTCAGGTAGGTGGTTTTCCAGGCTCTGGGATTTGTGGCACCCAGGGTTTTCTTCGTTATTGCTAGAGGTTTCCTTCAGTTATCTCTAAATTCTTAAAAATATGTCTATTCATTTACTTTAACCGTAAGGATAAATACATACCATATGACACTTGGAAGAGGGAATTTGGCGTTGAGAAACCCAACAGCCATCCACTGGGTGTAGAACACTATTCTCAACCATAGGAGCTTAACAAAATCACTAGTTGAACTTAAAACAAAAATCAGTTGTCTGGTTGGCCCTTCCCTACGTGAAAACATTACTATAGAAAAATTCCAAGCGTTGGAAGCCACTCTTTTCTTGGGGAAGAGAAGACAATTTACCAGTGTATCCTGGAATATGTTCTTTCCTTCCCCCACCCTCCTTTCAGCCTGACATTTGCTTGAATGGAAACATATCCTAATGGGATGAAAGGCAGAGAATTAAAAAAAAGAAAAAAATCACAGAGCATCAGTGGATGAAAACAATAGAGCTCTCTCAAATGCTGTTTGGTTATAGACAAATAGACAAGGTTTAAATAATTATAATGGCACCCATCTCCAGGCGTTGTGCTGTTTCCCTTAGCACTTACCACATTAGCACTTACCACACTGTATTGTAGTTGCGCTGTCAGTCTTCTGTTACTGGTCCAAAGCTCCGAGCTAGTGGAGTGTGTTTGTGTTCCCAGTGCCCACGCAGTGTGTGGCATCTTGGAACACTTTTGCTGATCCTCCCAGCACCTCCACAAAAGACAGGTTATTGTCGGCTGGGCATGGTGACTCACGCTTGTAATCCCAGCACTTTGGGAGGCTGAGGCGGGTGGATCAACTGAGGTCAGGTGTTGGAGACCAGCCTGGCCAACATGGTGAAACCCTGTCTCTACTAAAAATGCAAGAATTAACTGGGTATAGTGGCGGGCGCCTGTAATCTCAGCGACTTGGGATGGCTGAGGCAGGAGAATTGCTTGAACCTAGGAGGTGGAGGTTGCAGTGAGCCGAGACTCCATCTCACCAAAAAAAAAAAAAAAGACAAGTTATTGTCATTTTCATTTTACAAGTAAGAAAATTTAAGCTCAGAAAGGTGGAGTACCTTCCCAAAGTTGCTGAACCAGGATTCAAACCCTCCACTGTATTGTGCTGTCAGCAGTTGGTCCCCATTTCCCCTCTGGACTGTGTGCTTATAGCCAGAGTCAGGCCCTCCTTTGTCTTCTCAAAAGTTGTCCAGGTTGGGCGCGGGGGCTCACGCCTGTAATCCCAGCTACTTGGGAGGCTGAGGCAGGAGAATTGCTTGAACGCAGGAGGCAGAGGTTGCAGTGAGCTGAGATTGCTCCATTGCACTCTAGCCTGGGCAACAAGAGTGAAACTCAGTTACAAACAAACAAAAAAAGTTGGCTGGGCAGATGTGTTGGCTCACGCCTGTAATCCCAGCACTTTGGGAGGCCAAGGCGGGTGGATCATTTGAGACCAGGAGTTTAAGACCTGCCTGGCCAACATGGGGAAACCCCGTCTGTACTAAAAATACAAAAATTAGGCAGGCGTGGTGGCACGTGCCTGTAATCCCAGCTAGTTGGGAGACTGAGGCAGGGGAATCACTTAAATCTGGGAGGCAGAGGTTGCAGTGAGCCGAGATTGTGCCACTGCACTCCAGCCTGGGCGACAGAGCAAGATTCTGTCCTATAAAATAAAAATTATAAAAACTCACTATTCATATTATAGACGTTTCTCCAAGTGGCAACAGATTCTCAGAGGGCAGATAGGGGAAGGAGACAGAGAAAACTGTAACCTATCCAGTTATGAAGGCTGGCCAGGGATAAGCCTTGGGCAAAAGACAGTTTAGGGATCCTCTGTCAATATCAGACCTGAGGATCAGGCCGTCACCATTTGCAACTTTTCTTCTAAAGGGAAATAAGATGATACTGTTCCTATCTTGGGGAGCTTGCTCTCCAAGTTAGAAGTAGATCCAGCAGAGAGATTGGGGATAGAGGTTAAAAGCTGGAACTAAATCAGCATTTGCATTGCTCTCAAACAACAGGATTAGAATACTTGGGGTTGATGAATGAAGAAGGAGTTGTTTCAGTCACCTGTCAGGGATGGTCTTGCTTCTCTCTTTGTCCAGGAACAGTCTCCAGGAGCAGCCTGGGTGTCTGGGACTGGCTGCTGTGGGGACAGCCCCAGATACTTCCTTTCCTTTCTTACCATGCTCCTGTCAAGGCCAGGTAGGCCACCAGGTTTTTCTTTTTGCTGTCCCTAAAGCTACTCCACCTGAAATCCTCCTGACCTCTTTTCCTGGGTGGAGCTTGCGGAGGGTTTCGTGTTTGAAGTTTTAGGGTTTACTTTTGTTTGTTCAGTGTCCTTGTTTCCTTTGATTGGTACCAGGATGAACCAGAATCAGCCTCTGTCCCTGCTGGTCACCTCACATGGTCCTTCCTGTGAGAAAAGAGGAAGGGAGAAGTGAGGGCAGAGTCCTGAGCACCGTGCCTGTCCTTGTCTGTTCTGCAAATCTCTGCTGTTGATTCATTCCAAGCCAAAAGAAGCTCTGAAGGGTTCTTTCTGGGAAGCAAACTCCCCACTTGGGTTTTTTGGATCCTAATGATTTATGGCCATTCAGCCACAATTCTCCAGCCTATACTGGTAAATACAGTGTACCAAACTCTTGACACCTTGAGTTTTGGACCTGCAAAATGGAAAGAGTAGGAATCTGACTTATTTTAAGGTACACGGAAACCTTGGGTTTTGTGCTGCAGATATGAGATAGCCAGGTATGAAATTGTAGAAAGTCTTTTTTTTTTTTTTTTTTGAGACGGAGTCTCGCTCTGTCGCTCAGGCTGGAGTGCTGTGGCGTGATCTCGCCTGACTGCAACCTCTGCCTCCCATGTTCATGCCATTCATTCTGCTGCCTCAGCCTCTCGAGTAGCTGGGACTGTAGGTGCCCCCCACCACGCCCGGCTAATTATTTTGTATTTTTTTTTAGTAGAGACAGGGTTTCACTGTGTTAGCCAGGATGGTCTCAATCTCCTGACCTCATGATCCACCCGCCTCGGCCACCCAAAGTGCTGGGATTACAGGCGTGAGCCACCGTTTTTTTGTTTTGTTTTGTTTTGTTTTGAGACAGAGTCTCTCACTATCACCTGGGCTGGAGTGCAGTGGCACAATCTCGGCTCACTGTAACCTCCACCTCCAGGGTTCAAGCGATTCTCCTGCCTCAGCCTCCCAAGTAGCTGGGATTACAGGTGCCCACCACCAGGCCCGCTAACTTTTTGTATTTTTAGTGAAGATGGGGTTTCACTATGTTGGCCAGGCTGGTCTCAAACTCCTGACCTCATGATCTGCCTGCCTCAGTCTCCCAAAGTGCTGGGATTACAAATACAGCAGTGATCATGTCCTTCCTTGGCTGGAAGAATCTTCAGTAGTTCCACAACATTGCTTTTTTGGGTTTATTTTTAAAGATTCTATTGAAATATACTGAAAAGTGACATATCCTAAGCTAGATGAACTGTCACAGGGTGAAAATACACATGGTACTATTGTTCAGATGAAGAAATAGAACCTTACCAGCACCTCACACCCTTTGTGCCCCTCCCAGGCACTCCCCTTAAAACAGTAGCTAGTATCCTGACTTCTGCTAGCATGGATTTATTGTGCACTTTTATATTTTATATGAATGGAATTCTACACTACGTGCTCTTTTGTGCCTGTTTCCTTTTGCTCAGTGGCATCTTGTAGATACTCCTTTCTCACTGCTGTATAATATTCCATCATGTGTTATGCTGTGTTTTGTCTATTTCCATTGTCTTTCAGACTGCGTATAAATGTCTCTCCCCAGCATTCAAGGCCCTCCGTAATAGAGCCTCTTCTGTTTCCCACTACTCCCTGCATTCGTCCCTCACTCCAGCCAGACCACATTTCTGATCATTCTGCTGACCCCATGGAGCTCAGGCAAAGATGGCCCCTTGAGTGCTCTTTTGGACTCAAGATAGAAAGGTGTCTACAACCCACTTCCTACCCTCAAGGAAGTTGTAGTCTATAGAACACAAACTGTTTCTCTTTCTGAGCCTTTGCTCTTGCTGTTTCCCTGGATCTGGAATGTTCTTGTCCCTCCACCCTCATCCCGCCTACTACAATCCCATGTGTACTTCAAGGGTCCTCTCAAATGCCAGCTGCTTTGTGAAGATTGTTGGGTTCCTCCTCTCAGTAACCTCTCTCCCCACTCTGATCTCCCAGAGCGCTATTTAATATCCTCTTTAGCACTTGTCAGAGGTTCCTTGACCTTTTGGACATTTGAAAACAAACCTGTTCCTTTTTACTTGCCTGTAAGTTATTTGAGGTAGGG